AATTCACTAGAAATTTCGAACGATTCAACCATATGGTATAGAGGTATATGTGGCATGTCTGGAAATTCTCGTGCCCTCATCGCATCATAATCGATCTCGTACATGTGTGGAGTTGGTTGATACAGTGCCATAACTTCATCAGTTGGTCTCGGGTTAGGTGCACCACCACAGCCAAAATTATCATCGTCGGGTAAAACGGGTTCCTGAGTTTCTTCATATTCGCTGGAATCATCATGGATTTCTCCCCATCGATTTTCAACATCAACATCAACAGTCAATTCCGAGTTATATATGTTTATCTCCTTGTACTCTGCTAGTGTGGATGTTCCACCAACTTCATTTCCGCTTTCCAATAGCGCCATAAAATTATTTATCGATCTGTATGTCGGGTCCTCAAACACACTGCTGAAAGCCATTTCAGATGAATTTCCAGCCACATTTCTCGATGACCCAGGAACATTAGATATGTTACGTACATCAACAAATAACTCAATAACTGAAATATTTGTTGACTCGTGTAATCTAATCATGGTTCCAATATCATCATCTTCTTCAACTGGTACTGCAGCATATCTAACTGGATTGGGACATACCATGAACCTGTACTTTAAACCATCAATTGCAGCTCGGATTTTTCTTTCTATCCTCAGCTTCATTTCTACAAATGTGATGTCCCTTTTGAACATCATATTTATAGGTCTTTCAGACTGGAAAACAACTCCGACCTCATTTTCCATAATATGTCCATTATAGTGGACAATCGTGAAAAAATTGTTGTTCATTTTCTCTGCAACATCAAAATTTGTATTTATAATAGATAAGATATAATATATAACAACAACATAAAAATAAACATAACAACAATCGTAACATTAACAAATATTTATAAAAATAATTATAAAATACCTTAAATAATTTTTTTTTAAATTTAGTTCACTTTCGTTCTTCTAAAAAAATAACGAATTATTAGACTAATTTCATATAAATTTATCGAATAATGTAGCACGAACCGATATTCTCTTCTTCTCTTTTCCTTCGCTTTTCTCTTATTTCTTCCTCTTTTCTCTTCTTTCTTCTCCTCTTCTTTTTTTCATTCCCGGCGTAATCATCTCCCTACACCTCGGATTTATATTTAAAAACCAATTCCAATCCTCCAACCACAACCCTCAATCGTCGGTTCCTACTCCCACCATTATTGTTCTATTATTGTTAAACATTATTGCTTTTACATATTCTCGTGGTAAAACAATTATGCATGCAGGGGCCACAGGTATTATTGATTACATATTCACGTGGGGTAAACTTTTAGATAATGTGTTGAAATTTTTTATTGACTCCATTATTGCTTACAATATTAAATTATACATTTTAAACTACACAATTCAATAAAATTAATTAAGATATAAATGATTAGTATATTTTATTTTTTAATAAAAATAAAATTATTAATAAAATTGAAAAAAATCATTTTAAGATTATATATATAATCCTTGAATTATAAATATGGAGAATAAAATATTAAATTTAATTTATAAATATATAAATCGTAATTTTTTAAATTTTTTTGTATAAACTAGTGTTATAATATATATATATATAAAATCTATTCAACTTTTAATTAAATCTAAGATTTCCTTAAGTGATTTTGTATTTTTAAGTTCTATATTGGATGGTTCAAATCTCTTATAACTATTTTTTTTATGGAATAAACTATAGAACCATTTGTAAAACATAAGAAATTAGGTTCAAATGGGAAACTCATACTCTTCCATGCGATTTGCATGGGTCAATAAAAAAAATTTCCATTATTACTATACAGGGGCCATAAGGAAGGTATGGGTCAGGGAGGGGGAAGGCGCATGGATTTTCATGCATCTTTTATGATACGCATAGATTTTCATGCGTCTTTCAGTAGACGTTTGGATTCCAATACGTCTTCTTAAAGATGCTTGGACTTCAATGCATCTTCGGTGATTACTGTAGCATTCACCTTATTTCACGAAATAATTTATTGAGTGCATTATTCGAGCAAATATTTTTTCCTACTACATTATTTGAGAAATTCAGCTGGTTAACCAGGTCTGTTCGATTTTTAAAAAAATATTATTATGGGATAAAATATACGAATAATTCATCGATTATAAGATATTGTTTTATTAAGTTATTCGACTATTAAAGTTTATAAATTGGACACTCAATTGTTCATTATGTTTCAAACTCATCATTTTTCTTTAAAAAATCGACGGTCGTCTAAGTTGGACGTTAATATAATAATTGAAATATGATAGTTGTTTGAGATTTTAAGATCATATTTTATTATATACAGTTAGTAGATTAACGTTCTACTTAAAATGTCATCAATTTTTAAATAAAAATGATAAGTTTAGAACATAATAAACAGTCGAGTGATATTTTTATAATTTCAATAGTCGAAATACTCAATAAAGTAACATTCTATAATCGAATGATCATTTTATAATTTTTAATAGTCGGAAAATTTAATAAAACAATATTTTATAATCGATAAATCATTTATGTATTTTACCCTTTATTACTTTAAGCTAAAGTGCAGTTTTTTATTTTATTTTTGATGGAAATTATTTATAAATGATAATAAGTACCACGCCTTGAAAAAGTAGAAACATGTCGCGTTAGAAATAAAAAGGGGCCTTTGAATTTATAAGCAACTGTGTAACACATTCTATTAAACATATATTTTTTAAAGAAAAAATAATAACCCGTGATATTTAGTGTTAAAGTGATTATTTGATTATTCAATTTCATACCAAATGTCTAAATAAATGAGATAGGTAAAGTGTACGATCATGACTATAGTAGTAAATGAAATGAGACGGATTGTAATTCATTTATATTTAATTCGAGTTTGAATTCATTTCGAATTTTTTAAAGAGCCAAAACTAGATATTTAATACCTAATACAAAAAAAAACTTACAAACAACTAGAAAAAAATAATATTTTAAAATTTACTTTTAAATTAAATTATCAATAATATTAACATTTAGGATAAATTATGAGTTTAATACCTAAACTATCAATTTTGATATGTTTTAATACCTAAACTTTCATTTTTTTGTCCAAAACTATACTTAAAGTTAGGCCTGTAAACGAACCGAACGAACACGAACAAGGGGATGTTCATGTTCGTTCGTTTAACTTTAACCGAACAAATGAACGAACACGAATATAAACGAACAGAAAATTTCTTGTTCGTGTTCATTCATTAAGGAATGTAGCTTGTTCGTGTTCGCTCATGTTCATTTAAATGATAAACGAATACAAATGAATGAACATAAATGAACGGATGTAAACGTACATAAAACAAACACAATAAACGAACGTAAACGAACGTAAATTAATGTAAACTAACATAAATGAAAATATATTTTTTTTTCTTTCCTAACAATTTTAAGATTATATTTTATTTAATTGTTTTGAGCTTTTTTTATTTATTGTATTTAAAATTAATTGAAATTTAAAATATTTATGGGTATCAAATTAAAATTTATTGGGCTTTAATATTTTGAATGGGTCTAGGGAGATTGGGCTAAACATAAATGAACACACATAAACGAACATAAATGAACGCACATAAATGAACGAACATATTACCGAACGTTACGAACGTAAATGAACGAACGAGCCCTCTGTTCATGTTCGTTTATTTAATTAAACGAACACAAAATATTGTTCATGTTCATTCGTTTAATAAATAAACGAACTTCCCGCCAAACGGTTCGCTGAACGTTCGGTTCGTTTACAGACATACCTAAAGTTTAGTTTTTGTTTTATTTTAATATCATGTTCAAAATTTAACGTTAAGTTTTTAAAAAAATGAAAGTTTAGGTACTAAAACTGATCAAAATGAATAGTTTAGGTACTAAACATGTTAAGTTTTTAATAGTAGGGTACTAAAATGAAACCAAAACTAAACATTATATATGGTTTTGAAAAAAAGAAAAGAAAACCTATATACTAAAACAGACAAAAAATTATAACATAAGTACTAAATGCATAGTTTACCTTAATATTTATATTCTGTTTTTAAATGCCGTATAAAATTTCTATGTATTTAAAATTTTGGTTGGAATTCAAACATCACTAAGCAAGGTGTATTTTCAATCACTTGACTATCGTATATCGTATACTAAAGTAGAGCATACGCTAATCATATTATTATCATTTACAACATTTGCATCAATCACAAAAGTACCAAATTATCCAAGTTGAGATGTCGGATTTCTGGTAAGTCTAAAATTTTAATTTAATGTAGATCGATGGATTTTCTCAAATGAAAATGAGGTAAAACTGTTTCCAGAGAATCTAAATATAAATGGATAACACAAACCAAACGAGCGTAGTAGCAAAGGAATTATTGTTATTATTTGAGGTCTCGAGCTCGAGCACAAAAAATATCAGAGATGTGAGCGATCAGTAGCAAATGATTACGAGTATCTTTGAACCGATACTCATAATCATTCGATGCAAAAAATATGATGTCTCTTAATGCAAAAGATATGATGTCTCTTAATGCAAAAAATATGATGTCACTTAATACGCCATCTTCATTGTTTCATGCCCACATTGTCGTTTTTATTCTTGAATATCTTGTAGGGCCTAGATTAATTGCATGATTTCTGTTGGCTGAATTGTGGCACGGACTTGAAGATGACTGATGGGAATGAGAGAATTGAGAAAGGCTGAATCAGAGATGTTTTTTCATCATCTGGTTGAATTAGAAACAAATTTCAGTACCAAGGTGGGGTTCTGATTTGATTTTTACTTTTTTTTGGGTTGAATGCAGTGTTGTGGATGCAATGTTTTTCACATACTGGTGGATGATTTGAATCTGTTTCATGGGATGAAATTCTATGTCAATCCAAGCTTCAATTATGAAAGTGATCTTCGATGGAACATCGGATTCAAGTTGTTTGATGAGGAAGACGATGGTGATGGTGATGGTGATGCCAATGCGCTTTGATGGCTGGTAAACTGAACATCTCTTTGTTCATACTTGGAAACTGATAATCATACGTGCTAGATCGAAAAAAGTAGAAAGAATTGTAAAATATTCAGCCAAATGGTATAAATTTGGTGATTGGAATGCCTAATGCTTCACACTAAATAGACCATGGGCATGAAATTCAATCCATTCCTGTGTTAACCGCAGGGATGCCTCTCCAATATATATCTTCGTGATCCATATAAGAAGAGCCAGCTTTCCTCGACCCTATTTCCCATTCTTCGGTGTTGAACCGAAACCATGCAGTGATATGAACATGGAAAATATCGAAACTTAGGTAGTAAGAGCACAAGGAAGCGTTGTTAGAGTTCCGAGTATCTTGCCACCGAGATCAGGGAAGGTCTCTTGTCCAGGCAAGTGGCTTACTTCTCCATTTCCATCTACCGCAAGGGGGTATTTGAGTAGGTGTCCCTGTAATGGCGTAAAAACCTCGCTTGTGTACCTTATCCAGTTCTCGTCAGCAATTTCGTTAACGATCTTCAAGCAGTTCAAACTTTCAGGTTCTTTAAAGCAGTCATCAACCTTTTCCATGTGTTCGGCCCAGAGTGACATTCTATATCCATAAACCTGCAGGGTCATTCATAAATCTAATCAACACTTCTCCATTCGACATAGATAATTGCACCCGAATACCAGATCAAGATGATAATGTGCATGTTTTGGAGTAAAAACTATCTGTCTAGGCATAAACTTAAACGGCAAGGATGGAGGTTCGAACCTGACCATGAGGATGTCTCTTCCTCTCACCCCATGTATAATAGGGTTGATATGCACCCATTGCTATCTCGGTATCCCTTGACCCAGCCAAAGATCGTTGATTAATATTGGCAGATCCCATTATCACATACTCGTCATCTACTATCATTCCCTTAGAATGTACATAAATCATAAACCGTTTGAACTTTTGTGAATCTGAAACCTGAAAATAATGATTTATCTTTACATTCAGCTTTCCATATAAAGCCTAGATTCAAATCAAGTTCTAAAAGTCAATTCAACTAACCGATCCCCTAAAGCTGAAAACAAAGGTGAACTTGTTTTCATTCTAGCTTGGAACCAAGCAGAGCCAACACATTCGATTTCCAACAGTCAATCAACTAAGGATATAAACAAATAACACAGTAGAGCGAGTGTTGGATTACCGTTTCACCGAGGTTAGATTGGGGTGAACTTGGTCTAGAATCTCCGGGAATTTCTTCCCTATTAGCAAGGCAGTAGAAATTTAGGTAGTCTTGTGGATGAGAATTCTCAATACCTATTGATTTCAACTCTTGTGCTACTACTCTGTACATCATTTGAATTGTCTGCCCCTGAAAAATAAGAAACAAAAACTAAGCTACGTGATAGAATCACGAAATAACGATGAATAATCTGTTAGTGCCAATGAGTTTGGGTTTACATTCTTCCTTTCGGATTCTAGGTTCTTTTACTACTAGTGTAAGGTACAAAGGAAACAACTATTGTTGGATTACCTGCCAAAAGAGAATTTCTTGCACGGAGGCTGAAGTAGGGGTGCCCTCGGGCCACATCGGTATAACAACATACACTGCAAATCTCTCCTTTGCTCTTATCTTAGTACCAATCTTCAATGCCAATTCCATAGGAATTAAATTGTCAGCACCTAAAATTACCCCTCAAAAGAAAAGGTCTCCTCTCTCAGAACCAGAAAGCAAAAGAGTACTAGTAGTAAATTAGATATGATCATCGGTTTCCAAAACACCTTGTCACGGTGTTCATGACAATTGAAAATCGAAACCAGTAAATTGTTGATAGAAAGTTTCTTAAACCTGCTTCCTTGTAAGATGGCCAAGCATATGACGATCCGATGAAATATTGGTTCTCAATATATATGAAGTGTTGAGCAGATCTAATTGCCTGGATGTATGCCGTCTGAATGCCCTTGTCTATCACCATATTTTTTGCACAAACAAGATTCTGCAGTAAAATAAAGTAGGCCTTCAGCAAACCGATGTACAGTCGGTCGTAATATTAATATTCTTTTACTGTTCTTTAGTCCAAGAGAGCAAAGACATGAAAAAAAATTTAGAACCTGAGATTCTGCTTCAAACACATTCTTTGGGAACCCTGTCACAGATCCTGAATCTATAGAGCGGAAAACCTGCAGATTCGAAGAGCAAACAAAATTTAGAACAAAATGAAGTACTTTACTTCGAGAGGCATGTGGTAATTTACCTGAATATGCCAGTTCTCCGGATCATCTTCATTGGAAACCCATAATGAAGGATCGTCATTCGGGACTTTCGCGGAAGGGCTTAGTATCCAAGAAATTCGTTCTAACTTTATTAAAGAATCATCATGCCACATAGAAACCCTCTTGAATCTAAGTCCAAACTCCAACAATTTCGTAGCTTTCCTCCATCGCTGCTCAAAGTTGGTAAGAATATCATAAGCAGCTGGCCCTTGAACCTTGCAATGTAGATCATGCCACGGTTGCCTTGGGGCTCTGGTTCCCGCCTAACAATTGAAATATTTGAGTTGGTTTAGCAGATCAAATCGAATACTAGACTAAACGATACAAAACGATATACTCACAGAAAATGTCGGGTTGTGATAATCATTTTGAAATACAGTATCAAGATCCCGAAATAGTCGGTGTTCCGGTGTATCGTAGCGACCATCACAAAGGTCCAGGCCACCTATAAAAGCAGTGATCTTTCTATTGTTTCCTGGTGCACGTGAATCCACAATCACACATTTTTGATGGTGTGTATAGAGGGTACCAACAACCTGGATTTTACATGTCACAACTTACATCCTTCAGCCTTACTGATGCTAATTCGCAGTCGGCATTCACAACGGAAAATGTGAAGTAAGAATAACTGGATAGTGTAGTGCATGCCTGTTGTTTGAAAATACTAAGCTTACTGCTAGCATAACGAGGGGACAACACACACGAAACCGACGAGTGCTTGAAGAACTTCCGAGTTTCTTCATCGTGAGTTTGCATCACTCCCGCCTGACTTCAAAACATTATACATGTTAAACCAGAGAAGAAAAATCCTATGTAATAGCCTGGTCCCCATAGAGAAGAGTCTCAGTTAATATTAACTTAAAGGTCGCTTTCTCAATGATGCAGAGCATTGATTCTAAAAGCAGCCAAGCAATGGCAGACAAAACAAAAAGCTAACATCTTTGAACAAAAGCCAAAAACATCATTAACACGTTTTCTTCTTCAGGAAAAATAAAAAGCAGCAGCGTTTTCGATTGAATTGTGTTTATGGCAATTGCAGACATTACGGAGGATATTAGGGGTATCACGGTCGTGCAAGCAGAAAATTCATACCGTGTTAATGAAGAATTTTCTATGGGAAGTCTTGTCATCCCAAACCAAAAGCAAAACTCTAACTCCTTCTTCCGATTTGTACTTAAGCAAATCCCCCAAACTCAAATCGCCGCCGTTTGGCAACGGCCGTGTCGGCTCTCTTACAAGCTTCACCTGCGTGAAAATCGACCATCCGACGATGTAAACCAAGTGATGCGCTTCTAAAATTTCGTGACAGATATCTTCCCAACACGACTCGTGCTTAAAGTCGGTTCCGTTCTCCAATTCAATCTTCGGCATCGAGGATCCATGGGCGTGAGCGTCTTGGTACAAAGTAACGGAACCCCCGTGCCGGAGGGGGAAATAACAGTTTCTGATTGCGAACTCCGTCGGGTTTGCCGTCATTCCATATCGGTACGACGGCATTTCCTCGCATTTGGTGAATCTCATTTCAAGGTGAACCGCGCAGTCGGGTTTTGGCGGTTTTCCGTAAGAATCGATTATAGGAAACCACCCGCTAATCGGTTCACCGGAGAGAACTTTAACCGCGGACACCGTCGCGATCCCGATCAAATCAGCGCCGAACACGTCATTATCCTTAACGGAAAACTCGATGTGAGGTGTTGGATGGGCAAGGGGTATTTTGAAACGCTCGTTCCAAACCGGGTTCTGGGAATTCGAAATCACGCGCGTCCGAGCCACCGTGGCACCGGCCAGACAAACCGACAAGTAAGGGTCGCTGGTGATGATCTTATGGCTGCGGAGCTTCTTCTGCTTCCCTGCAGCACACGGGGATCGGAACACGCGGAACACGGAGAAACATTGCCGGAGACGCTCGGACATCAAATCCATGTTCGGCAAATATCGAGCTTCGATGATTTTCAAATCAAGGTCGCCATGCAAGAACACAACGGGATCCGAAACGTCTTCTCCCATTGAATCAGACCCAGACAGGACCAGTTATTCAAAAAGGCACGAAATCAAAATGATAAAAAAGCAATGTGAAAGGTAGATAAGTTAGATTACTAGTTAAAAGGTGAATATTTTTCTCTCTTTTGAGTGATTAGTTCATTGTTTTCCTTCTGGCAGTAACCGGTAAAAACGAACGTGCTGAAGAAGAGGCGTTGGTTTCAGACTTTCAGTAGAGCCGAATTCCGTTTGTTTTCTCCGACTGAAAGCTAACGGCGAAAACCGAAGACTCTGACTCTGACTCTGACAGGGGAACACTATATGAGGGTTTTGTTTGAAATTATGCTGTAAGCAGAAACTTTTTCAAGGTACACGTAGACAGTTAAATTACGCCATTTTCTTCTAAAAGAAATTGTAAACTACCGTCACAAGTTCATCTTTTATAAGTTGGATTGTCGTGTTCAGTTTAATTTGTATGGTCGGTTTGAATATTGCAATTTAAGTTTTTCTTTCAAAAGATATTTATTGGGTATGTTATTTAATTAACTCCATATTCTGATGAAAAATATTTCATTTTAGATGTCGCTAAAATTATTTTTTGAAATAACATATGTTGAATTTGAACAATTCTAATTGTATAATTGATCGAAATTTTATAATCTTATTAAAGACTTTATTTTATCGTTTGTACATATTCGAGAAGATGATGTATCGTTTAATGTTGTAGCAAACTCTATATTAAAAAATATAATATATTGTAACTTTTGTTTCGTTTTAATTAATATATGGTTATTGAGACGTTAACTACTGTGAGTTGGATGACGCGATACGTTAGTAAAATATTTAATTTTTATTTGAATCCTAAAGCTTTAGATAAATTACTAATCATGGGTTATTTTGTAAATTCAAAATAATTTAAGGATAAAATATCAATCTACCCATTTTTTTCCATATGCTGTCTTCCCCATACCTATCTTCTATGTCGCTTCTCGTGCTTCATCTCTAAAAAGTGAAGATAAGTTTGGGGAAGACAACATATGAAAAAATGAGTAAATTGATATTTTATCTCTAAACTATTTTAGATTTACAAAAAGACTCATGATTGGTAATTTACTTAAAGTGTAAGGGTTCAAATAAAAATTAAACCTGATTATTAATATGTCATGTCATCCAATTCACGACAACTAACGTCCCAATGACTACATCTTAATTAAAACGAAACGAAAGTGACTATATATTATTTTTTTAATCCAATGATCATATGTTTATAAAACTGAAACAAAAATGATCAACTTTGTAATTTACCAAAAAATATAACATGGCATATTAAATTCTTTTCTTTAAGAAAATCTTAAGGTTTCAATTGATAGCAAATGTCAAATTTGGAGTGAAGAGTTGGAAAGTTGGAAAACATCGAGGGTAATTTAATACTCAATTATCATTTTTATTTTATTTTGGTCACTCATTATTAATTTATTAAAATCATATATAATATTACGTTCTGATTTTATTTTAATTATTCGTATAAAAAACAGAATTATTGACGTAACATTTTTTAAAATTTAATGATGATATGACACTATCTTATAGAGAGATGTCCACATCACTGTTACTTTTTCTAATTGTGATTTTTTAATGGTGGATAACTGTTGAGTTAATCGAATGATGAAATTGGCCAAGAGGGGGGTGAATTGGCAATAAAAATTTTGTGGAAGCTTTTGCAGAAAATTGAAAGTAATTGCACAGCGATTTACAGTGGTTCGACTTTCTCAAACAAAGTCTACGTCCACTACCTTAGCTATCCACACTAAGGATTTTCCAACAAATTCACTAATTTGTTCTTTCTTTTGAGGCCAAAGAGATAACCTTACAATTCCCTCAAGAGTATACCCCAACTCTTGAGAACACTCTTTTCTCAAAGAGAAGATTACAAATTTGCAAACTTACAAGAAAACCTCACAAGGTAAGATGTTTGCACAATTTTAGAACAAAGAAAAGAACACTCAAAGATGAATACAATTGAGCACAAAAAGTGTTCTTGAAAGCAAAATGAATATTGAATGAAAATAGGCTTGAAATGCTCAAACTTGAGGTTTGATGCTTTCTCTTTGATTCTCTCTTGATTCTAGTTGCTTGATGTTTCTTGTTATTGATCAATGGCTTCTAAGCTTGCTTAAATACACCTTGGATCACTTCTGAACGTTGGGGATGATTAGAGAAGATATTATAGCTGTTTTAGTGTGAAAACATTTAATAAAACAGCTTGGAGTGTGGGGGGAATCGGTTCCCCTTTGAAGGGAATCGGTTCCTAAGTGTAAAATTCAAATATTTCGACCGTTGTACAAGGGGGGAATCGGTACCCCCTTGGGGGGGATCGGTTCCCTCCGAGCATACTGGAATTCTCGGAGCAAAACTGTTTAGGGGGGAATCGGTTCCTCCTATGGGGGAATCGGTTCCCTCCGAGCATTCTGGAAATCTCGGAGCCAAACCATTCAGGGGGGAATCGGTTCCTCCTATGGGGGGAATCGGTTCCCTCTGAGCAATCTGGAATTTTTGGCTTTGAATTGGTTCGAAATACTTTGTAAAATTATTTTGAAATTGTTTTATGATTAAAACTTAATTTTACACTTAAGTAAGGATTAAAAATGATTTTTGAAATATTTGGAGTAATGTTTTGATATTCGAATAGTTATATCGAATATACTTAGAAAATCATTTGGAAAATCTTAAAATACATTTAACTTAATTTGTTATATCGAAATATCAAAACGTTTCAACAATCTCCCCCTTTTTGATATAACAAAACATTTTAGTAATTTTAAGATTTTTGAAATTAAGTTTTGAAATTACTCCCCCTTACTTTAACACTTCTTCAATTTATTATGTAAAACATTTAACACCTATTCTTCTCCCCCTTTTTGTTAAATCAAAAAGACATTGTAAAACAAGGTTTTGAAAACATTTAGCCAATTGATTTATTAATTATAAGCTTAAGCTGCTAAGATCACAATCAAAAGAGAGGTTAGCCATTAGTCTCATAAATCAATATTCATAAATAATGTGATATGGCAAAATTGGTCATATTGCTAATGATGATGCAAAAATGAATAAAACATATAAGTTCAAACTATTCATAAATCCAAAATCCAACAATCCACAAAATCAAACAATCCAAAATATCCAAAATGTTGAAACAATATTCTTTTTGTTCAAAGTCTAAACACATAATCAAACATCCGGATCGGTAGGAGGAAAACGGGCTCGCATAGCAGCCATTTCATGAGTTAGTTCATTAATACGAGCATTGGTTGCTTCATTGTTTGCACGCATCTCCTGAAGAATCTCTAATTGTTGAGCTCCCATTGTGGATAAATGAGACTCTATAGAGGAAAAGCGCGAATCCATTGTCGCATAACGGAAATCAAATGTCTCCATAAAGGATTGAAAATATGGAGGCATTTGAGTCGATTGTTGTGCGTGCTCCTCGGGTTGTTCAGGTTCTTCAGCTTCATCGATATCCCTCATTAATTGTTCAAACTCGGGATCTTCGTCAGCTTCGGGTGGAGCTTGTGAAGAACTAGCTCCCGGAGTAGAAGATCGAACCCATGCACCGGTTTCCTTATTTTTGACCCATCCCGCTCTTGTTAAAGAAAGAAGATTGATTTGTTTCTTAAGAGGAAATGAGGCATCTAGACCAACTCGGAGTTCGGCTTTAGAAAAGAGATTACTAAGGATACAACCGTAAACTAGTGAAAAACAGAGTTTCTTATTTGGCACTAAGTTAACGGTTTCAACGATCTCAGCAAAGATAATCTCGGAAAGGTTTATTTTTATATTGTTTTCAAAACAATGCAACCACCAAAGGTCTAAAGCTCTAAGAGTAGAATAACGACCCCCGGATGGTCGAAACCACCAAGTGATCATAAGATGAAGAAAACGCTCATGGAGATCTAAAACACTTGCACTATCATTATGTTTATATCGTGAGCCTAAAACTTGTTTTTCGTTTGATAAACCTTCATTGTCCAAGCCTAAGGCATTGGCTATGTAATCCGGATCAAGATGGAAATATTGACCTAGGAGGTAGGAACGCACTCCTATGGTTTTGGTTTTGTCACGATTTTTGATACAAACGGTATTACAGTAGAAGATATGAACAAGTTGATGATAGACAATGGGTTCAAGTTCGAAAAGTTTATCAAATTTCCATTCGTACAAGATAGGGAGATATTTAAAGTTAATATCAACCATAGTTTGAAGAGATGGGATACGTTCTTCCCTAATCTTATACGAGTCAAAATATTGGTAAAACCAATAACGATAATCTTTAGGACCCGGTTGATTGAAACAAGAATTTTGGATAGTCAAGTTAGGATCAAGATTTGGAATAGGATTTTGAGGAATAGGAGGAGGATTTGGTTGACGACTAGAACGACTAGATGAAGACCTAGGACGTTTACGATTTGACATGGTGAAGGAAATCGGAATAGATAGAATAACCTGCAATTTTAAAACAAATGTATGCAATTCAATTAATCCCAAAACTCAATTGAGTCCTCAATATTTCAAGGTTCTCTAAATCAATCCTAATGGGCAAAGTTTTTGAGAAACTTTTGAAAAATATGGTTTTGAGAAATAATATATGTATAGTTTGCATAATAACAACATAATTTAATCAAAACACAATAATTTGAAAAATAACATTTTTTTTTATTTCGAAAATTTAAAAAATTTTGAAAAATTCTTGTGTTTTTGATGAAATTAGTTGTAACATCTAGTTTCTAATCACTAAATAATCAATGCCCGATCACTATTTCAACCTAGAACTAATTGAAACTAATCATATGTTCAAAAACAATGAAATAGAGAGTTTAGAAAAATTTACCTTGAAAGATGAAGATTGAGGGGATTTAGATGTTGTTTGCACGATTTTAATGATTCCAACATGTTTAGAAGATGATATTTGAAGCGAATTCCGATTAATATCGATGATTTGAGGCAAGAAAGGAGATTTGAGTGTTTGAGGAGGGTGAGAAACGGTTTGAAGAAAATATAAGGGTTTTGGGAATTTTGGGGTGTTCTGCCCGATTTTAACAGAACCCCAGGGGGGTATCGATTCCCCTGCGGGGGGAATCGGTTCCCCTTCAAAGGGGG